TTAGCACAATAAAAAGCCATCACTAAACCCGCGTAGTGGCTGAAGCCTGTAATCCCAGCATTTTGGGAGGCTGAGGCAAGAGGACTGCTTGAGTCCAGGAGTTGGATTTCAGTATGAAAAACATAGCGAGACCCTTATCTCTACAAAAGATAAAATATTACAGGGTGTGATGGCATGTGCCTATACTCGGGAGACTGAGGCAGAGGATCTCCTAAACCAAGGAGGTCAAGGTTGCAGTGAGCCTGATCCTGCCACTGCACTCCAGTCTGGGCAACAGAGACTCCAACTCCCAAAAAAAGCTGTAGTGCCTAATAAAATGAATTAGTGTGCAATATTTTATTTTTTTAAGAGACAGAATCTCATTATGTGACCCAGACTGGTCTCAAATTCCTGCCATCACCACACCCAGCCTAAAATACTTTAAATAAGCAAATTATTAACTTGAGAAATGTGAAAGGCACAAGCTGCCAATCTGCTTTTCAATGGTTGACCACCTGACAAGGAGGAATTTAGGAACAATTTTTATTTTATTTATTTTTTTTGAGTTGGAATCTCACTCTGTCACCCAGACTGGAGTGCAGTGGCCACTCCCGGCCACCACAGCCTCGACCTGCTGGGCTCTGGCGATCCTTCCGCCTCAGCCTTCCGAGTAGCCAGAATTACAGGTGTGCACTACCGCGCCCGGCTGATTTTTTGATTTATTGTAGAGATGAGGTCTTGCTGCCCAGGCAGGTCTTGAACCCGCAGGCTCAGGTAATTCACTCACCTCAGCCTCCCAAAGGCGTGGGATTATAGGCTGAGCCACTGAGCCTGGCTTTTTCTTTCTTTTTTTTTTCTGGAGATGCGGTTTCACCAAGTCACACAGGCTGGCCACAAACTTCTGGGCTCAGGCAAACCTCTAACCTCGGCCTCCCAAAGTGCTGGGATTACAGGCGTAAGCCACTGTGTCCAGCCTTATACATGCATATGTGTGTGTGTGCGTGCGTGCGTGCGTGCGTGTGTGTGTGTGTGTGTATTTGAGTCGGAATCTCACTCTGTCACCCAGGCTGGAGTGCAGTGGCGCAATCATGGCCACCGCAGCCTCTGGGCTCTGGCTGGGCTCTCAGGGGATCCTTCCGCTTCAGCCTTCTTAGTGGCTGGAACTACAGACAGGCACCACCATGCCTGGCTAATTTTTTAAAAAATTTATTGTAGTGACGAGGTCTCACCAAGTTGCCCAGGCTGGTCTCGAACCCCTAGATTCAGCAAATCCTCTTGTCTCGGCCTCCCAAAGTGCT